ATACCAGGTAAAAGTTTATGGTATATCTACCAAGTGATGTGACGATTAAGTAGTGCACCTGGTGGTAAGAGACGTGACTGCCCATAGCAATTGAAGTGCCACGTAGAGTTTAAAATATCAAAGATTTGATAGACACTGCCACTGCTCCCGACGCCCTGAGACGTAAGTTGACAAGTCCCATGTGCTTGTAATTTCACCAGCATCCTTACCCTTCAAAACCGAAACACAGTAATGCTCACATTACTGCTTGGCAACAGAAAGCGGTAAGGTGGCAGTACTTCCCTGGACAAACTTTTTCACAAGAAGATCTACTGCTACTAAAATTTTACCACAACGCGGTAGCAGATTTCTGATTGTCCTTACAAATAGAGGGACAGATTTGAATGGGCTTTAATGGACCAAATGTTTGCAATTGTCATTCTGCCCGTGTGGCATACAATGTTTTTCAGCACACTTAAACTTAAAAATGTTATAGTTTGTTCATATTATATGCAGAATTTTAATTATCTCAAAACATTATAATACCCATCTTTTAAATTTATGTATGCCGAGGTATCTATAAATATATATCTAATTAAAATGTTTGAAAGATATCGAGTTCTTAGGTTTTCGCGATTGTTACACGTTTCGCGGTTGAGTCAACCGTGACCATGGGACCTGTAAAGGGCCCGAAACGTCGGTTTGTTTGAAAAAACAAATATACGCGATTTAAATCCGGAAAAATAGTTTCATTTCCTATGTTTGAAAGATATCTTTTCTTTTGTCTGTAGGCAGAGACTACGAAACTATTGTCTCCAACCTTGGTACACATCTTTCTTTACTCTACTTTAGCTTTATTTGTCTACCCTTTAACTGTTGTCCTGAACCCTGAAATTAAGTCAAGTTTGTGTCTGGTTTAATCGCCCGTAGTAGCATCGCCTGCGGCAGTTGATTTCTAACCTGTCCCCGGATCCGGAACGGCGACTACGACTTCCTCTTAAAAGTTTTAATTCCATTGACAACGAGGAAGGATGTGTTGAATTTTTGTCTTGCCATAATTAACGTATTTGTAACCGACATCAAAAAAGGAGGAAGTTTTCAATTCGACTGTATTTCTTTTGTGTGTATAGATATCTACTAAGACATTTAGAATATCATTTTTTTGTTGGAAAGCGGGTACCTCAGTTATGACCCCATTTAAATTAATTTTTTTTCGAAGCGCCACCTCTTGGTATATCAATGAACTATTTGGTAGAGAGTTGTCAGCCTCTGTGCAGACCTTCTTCTTATAGTAGTCCCGGCGGTCACAGACATGGTGAGACGGCAAGGGATTTCTAACTGACGAATAGTAATATACTTACATACCTTAAGATTATGACATTATACCTAGTTGCAACTGAATGACGATGATAGTAGCTGCAAAATAAAGCTGCGGTATGGTTAGGGATGCCGAGCAGGCAGCCTTAGGTATGTTACGGAAAGCCGATTGCGAGTATGCACAGACAGCACAGATAGTACCAATACCGGTAGCGAAGTTAAAGCCGTACTGTAAGGTTAAAGATTGGGAAGAGCCAGCGATATTATTAAATTCTAAATTTACTTCAGGCGGCCGGAAACCATTGCGATGATAAGAAAATGAAAATGGTTTATTTGCAAGCAAACATGGTACTGGTGATGGTAAAAGTGCATAATACTTGTACAGTCAAAAGCACGTCAAGCTTGATAGTTTGGACGTTGGACCGTTCTTATCGTAAGCGGCATTGAGTTGGATTTAAATCTTAAGTATCAAGCTTAACGGGCTCTTGACCCTGTACAAGCGTGTTGCGCCATTTCTGACGTGCAACATTTTACAATATTATATCATAGCAGTCGTTCTAATAAACACTTACAATATTATTCTATTATCTATCTTTATTATTTATTAATTTATGTCAATTTTTGTCATTATTTATGCCAATTATGATATAAAGTTTAATTTACAATATTTAATGTGTTCCAATAATAATAATTTAAATGAATTTATAACAATTATCTAATAGTATTTTATACATATAATTTTTAAATTCCCTTCGAGGCATTTGTTTTAAATAGTCAGGTATTAAATTTTATGGACATCTTATAACTATTTCTCAAAAAACATGTAGTTTTACTAGAAGTGCCTGTTAAGCGATTTGGGAAGCTGGATAAATATGAGTACTATTTTTGCTCGAACATTTTTACATTTCTCTTGACAAACATACAGACCTCAAGAATGTACATGGCGGGTAGGGTGAGTAACCTGAGCTGCTTGAATAAAGGTCTACATGATTCGAAGGGTCCGACTTGGCAAATCGCTCTCACACATCTCTTCTGCAGTACAAAGGCTTTATCAATGTCAACACAATTAACTCACCATAAGGATATCTTGCATTTACGTATAGGCGGCAGTAATTATATTTTTATATTTATGCAAACAGCGGTGGAAGCCTAATGAAAGAACGGTTGCTTTTCAAGTGAGACGTTGAATTTAAATTTAAAATATTTTTTAAACAAGATAACACAGGACCCACTTTGTTTGTAGATACCTATAAAAAACCAACTGACGATATAAAAAACAAAATGTTTATCATGATTTTTTAAGAAAATGAATATTCAATTATTGTTGAATCCATAAATTCATTGATTGAATAAAAAGTGTGATTTTCAAATTAAAGTTTAAGTTTTTGCTTGAATGCGGTCATTTCCAAGTCAGATACATAAACTGGTCCCCGTCGTGCCACGAGTGCGGCGCTGCGGATGACACCGCGCAGCACACCCTAGAGGTGTGTAGCCGGTGGGATGAGCAGCGCCGCACTCTGACGGGGACTATAGGGCAGGACCTCTCGTTGCCGAGCGCGGTTGCCGCCATGCTCGATAGCGAGGAGTCCTGGGAGGCGATGGTCTCCTTTTGCACAGAGGTTATGTCGCAAAAGGAGGCCGCGGAGCGGGTGCGCGAGGACGCGGCGGACGCGCACCCGCTCCGGCGCAGACGTACGAGGAGAAGGCAAAGGCAGTTCGCTGCTCGCCTGATCCCCTAGTGAGACCAGCGGGCTCTGGACAGGGACTCCGGAGCCTGCATTGCACGGCCTCACACGTCTGAGGGGCGGGTCGGAGGACAACCGACTCGTCCCTCCGTTGGCGCGGGAGCCCTGGCGCAAGCTAGGGCGGCCGGGCGGCGTCGTGGTGAATGTTCACTGATCCCACGGCGCCGACTCAACCGGCGAGAGGGAAACCCGGGGGGTTTTAGTGGGGTAGGCCTTCCAGTGTGGAGGGAGAGTCCCCACATAACCCCTGAGTCTCCCTGGGCTCAGGGGTATCCATAAAAATTTCCCCCCCGTCAAAAAAAAAAAAAAAAGAAAAGATACATAAACTGGTACTTTATTGTGCATATGTTTTTTTTATATTTATGCCTTGTTTTATGGTATCTACTAATCGGATTTTGTTTGTTACTAGTTTATGTTTATTTCTAGTGTTATATGTGTGTATGGTCAATTTGGTCTGTGCTAGACTTCCTTATACATATATTTTATTTGTGTATAGTTAGTAGAAGTACCTCTCACTTACGGGGAAAGAAAACATTGTGATAAGACCAGCATGTCGAAGTTCACAACAAAAAGGTTCACAACCCTTGAAAAACGTGTAAAGGGGTGGGACATATATTTGGCTGACGATGATAATAAAAATAAATAAATAATAAACAAAAATACAAAATAGTCTCTAAACTTTTATATTAGGTATTGTTGTTTTGACACTTCAATGCAGCCTGTACAGTCAAGACCAAATCACGCTTGACATTTTGGAACGTAGGCAATTCTTATTGTAAGCGGCACACAGTTTAATTTAAAGTTTAGGTGTCAAGTTTAATGTCTTTTTTTTAAACGATTTCAAAATCAAGGAGGAGGTTCTCAATAATAATTCGACTGTATTTTTTTATGTATATATTACGTCATAATTAACTGAATATGTCAACCGATTTTAAGGATTCTTTTTTATTTGAAAGAGCGTACCTTAGTGTTGATTCCATTCAAATTTGAAGAAAATATTCCACCTCTAAAGGTGGAAAACTAGGCGATGAATCCGGTTCCGCACATTTTCCGGTAACCGATTTCAATAAAACTTGGCAAACAGATGTAATTCCACGAACTTTTGAGGTTTTTTTTTTTATAAAAAAGTTATTTATGTTGTATTGTTGTTGGTGTACTAATGACGAGACGAATCAACACGCCTGTCTATAACAATTGCAATACCGCTTAAAGCATTAAATAACAAAGACCTGAGAGAAACTGCCACTGCGCCAGTCACCCTGAGGCATAAGTTGACAATTCCCATGTGACTGTAATTTCACCAGTACCCTTACCCTTCAAAACTGAAACACAGTAACGCTTACGTTACTGCATGAAGGCAGAAATAGGTAAGGTGGCAATACTTCCCTGGGCAGAATCCACATCACACAAGTAGCCCTGCTGCTATTAAAAACTGCCCTTGACCGCGTACAAACAAGGTAAAAAGAGTATAGAACCAAAGTGAAAACACTAATGTTATATTATTACTTAATATCTTAAAAGCTTCGCTATTTATTGCATTAATTATTTTCAGCCGCCAAATACATGAATTGTATATCTCTAATACATCAACTTTCACGTATATAGATTAACTGGATACGTCTCATTATTATAAGATGTACGTAGAATTTTATTACGGAAAATTTTCAACTCCCTGCGGGAAATGGTAGGTTAAATATATATTAGTAATAGTAAATTAATTATTATAAAATAGAGTAATGTGAGTAAGTTGCCAATACAAAATGATTGATCGTTGAGGATTAAAAAAATTGCCTATACATTTTATTAAAGTCTAAAGTTTTCATCGTTACTAAGTATCGTTATCAATTGCAACAGTTTTAATGCCTCGTTTTGCTACACTTAAGTCACATCTAGTTGCCCACCATCAACGAGCGAGCTTTCCTTTACTCACCGGGTGTAAGCTGCCGCAGTTCAACTGGTGTGCCCGCGACGAGCGCTTGTGCTTAAAGCTCGCTCGTTCCGAGTTACTGTGTGTTACGACTTACGTGTGCTTTCAATTTAATTCCTCCTTCGGTAGGTAACTTTTTCTTTGTGTCATTGATATTGTATTTAGTTTGTGAAGTTTTGCTGGAATATGTTTGTTGTTTACTTGTTTGTTGAGTTAATTAACCCTTTCGCGGGCAGTACTCAGTACGCGGCTAATTTAACTTTTAACATTTCAAAACGGTGCTAAGAACGTCCCTTAGGACACTGACGATTAATTTTAATCCCCCAAATAACCCCCATATTTTTTGAGGGGGGTGGCAACATGTTTGCCTATGTCCCTATGGATATATTTTGTAATCAAATAGTTGCCAGTGCCGACTTCGAAGGTGTCAACTTAGTGTTGCCAATGCCCTATTGTTTGACCTTTAGGTTAGGTTGTGCTTGTTTTTTATTCATAAAATAATAAACCACAATCAACATCGTAATCACAATCAACTTTAATATTTATATATTATGTTTATGAGTTTACTAACAAATTACAGAGATATGGTAAAGCCATAATATTAAAATAAAAAAAATCTCTAAAACTTAGGAACATAAATCAGTCTCTTCATAATAATATCGAAATATTCTATTGGCGGCGAGACAATGGAAAAAAAATAAATTGGGTAAACACCAACATCAAACCCATCTTCCTGAAATATTCTGTTTATTTCAGCTATCTGCTCTAAATTTACCTTCTTCCATTCTGTTTCGTCATAATCAGAATTTTCAGAATCATCAGATTGAGCATCACTAACACACAACTCAGCATCATCGTGTACAGGATCTATGCGTTGTGAAGTAATATCCAAATTATAATTTTTGTTGCATACAGTCTGCAATGGCTCTTCGTCACTTGAAGACCATTCACCTTTACTGTCATTTTCCTGAAAAATTCTATCAATAATTATGTTTGTTGTCGTATCTGTAGCAGTAATAAGTTTACTGGTTGATGGGTTTGGATTTATAGAAGAGCTTGTACTTGTTGAAGGGCCAGTGCTAGCAACAGATAGATAGCTAGCCAAGCTCTGGTTATCTTCAGGCTCGGATTTGTAGTCTTCGAGGCTGTCTTCTGATCCCGAAGTATCTGGTATAGTTAATAATTCAATTATCTCTTTGTTTGTTACTGCAGCTCTAAGTTTATGTTTTCGAGGCGGCATCTGAAACAAAAATCAAATGGGCATAGGCAATTATTTATCTCTATGTGTATAAACAATCAAGCATAGGCAACTATTTTGCCACCATTCTAGGCAGTGGCAATTTCAAATATTTCGCATCATATCTATCATACAACTAGGTAAAACAACAAACTTCTATCATAATATGATAGCTTCGATATTCAATACAAATAAAATAATTGAATACTCACTTTTCTTACGGCAGAATTTTTGATTTTTTTGGATTTGTATTCGAACTCCTAAAAACTAGCCTCACTTTTCTCGCGTCTTCACAAATCTGTCAAAATCATACGCTAGCATTTGATTGGTTAAACCAAATTTGTTACGAGAGTTTCTAAGAGATGGCGTCACCTACATAGGGTAAAAGAATACCAAGCAACTCAAAATACTTGGAGCTATATTTAAAAATATGCCTTGGCAAACATTTTGCCTACGCCCGCGAAAGGGTTAACTTGTTTGATTATTAGAAAAGACAAGGGGGCAGCCACCTTACAAAAGTTACAATTTGTTCTTTTTTCATGTGAATAGGTTGTTATAATGTAGAATACTATTTATAAATATAAGGTGAAAATTAAAAGTTGACTTCACAGGTACGCATATTTACTTTACTGAAATGGCATTATGATTTAATTAGAATAGAGTAGAATAGTTTATTTGCCAGTATACAGGAAATATACAGATCTCAAATCAATTTAGGTTCATAATTAATTTAATTTAGTTTTTTATTTTTTTAATCAAATATGAAATACGAAACTGACGTTCTATATAAAAAAAATCTGTCAATATAAATGTTTTTGGAAAATATAATATTTTATTTAATCAAAATACGCACCTTTATTTTTAATCGTTAACGGTTTTTTTTGGAATCCGTTTATTCCTTATATGGTAAATCTACCGTATTTCTAATCCCCCCTGAATAGTGGGGATTAGAAATGTACAGTCTTGGAACTTTTGTTTCCGTCTGTTTCACTTGAGTTTGTTTTCTTTGTTCTTAATTATTTAAATTTCGGAAAAGTGGTACTAGATAATGACCAAGTCAAAGAGTTTAAAGTATGGCTAAAGTTTCAATCCATAACTGTTGTAAGGTGAAGGTGGTTTATTCGGAAGGCGCTATAGCGTTGTCGTGTAGAGTGAAAATTGTTTGACCAGACGCGGTTGTTTCTTTACAAGTCTTCCCATTAACATCGGTATTTCTTCACAATAGCGATCAGCTGTTGTGTATGTGCCTGTTCTAAGGAAGTTATGGTACTATATTTTGCGTTTGTATAATCAAATAATTTATTAATATAATGATGTACTGTAATAATATCACTCTCTGTCGATATCGATAGTGCAAACTTTAACACACGTTTCCCGTTTTAAAATAAATAAATGAAAATTTAAAAAAAATACAAATAAAAGTCATTTGGGCACTGCAGACATTTTACAGTCCATTTTGTTAGTATACTTACAAACTATCTGTTCTATTGTTATTAGTACAAAAGTTACGGAATAAAAAGAAAGTAATAAAATGAATGAATGAATGAAATGACTACATGATACCTGTTAAGTTCACCGAGCTCCTAGGACGTGAAGTTCGGTGAACCTAGCAAGCAGATCGGAGTACCATCTATCCCCAATCATTTTAAGATCTCTGTTTATCTGTCTATGATACCACTTTTTCTTGGCATTAGAGTTTTAGTTGTACGGTATCCATTATTCTAGTTTTTTAAATTTAGTTCAAATAGTTGAGTTATTTTTAATAAAAAAATAAGTGCGCATTTCACCTCCATCTCACCTGATGGAAAGTTACGATGAGGTCGATATTGGAGCATACACACCTTAATAAATGTCTATTCGCTCTCGCCTTGAAAAGGCCTAAGTTACAGCGCTCAGGGAATAAATCTGCAGACAGGAAATTCTACTCCATAGTTATTCGCCATATAAACGTGGAAGCGTATTGCTTCGTGTGAATTATATTATATAGTATTGCGAGTATTCGTAGTATACGTGGGTTACGTTAAACCGAGTTGCTAATTCTTTCGTAGTTTGTCATGAATTGGTTTCAACCATAGCACGCAACTCGTCATTGTCGCAACTAGTCAAGCTCTGATGATCGTCCAAATTGGTTGCCACGCTTTTTTGACTCTCCGCCCATTTAGGCAAGATAAAAAAATTTCAACGCCTACAACCACAAAAAATAATTGAAAACACGTATCAACAAAAAATCACAAGGAAAAAAATATATTTGTAGTGTAGTTCATGTAGATCACACAGGGATTTTTTCCAAATGCGGCAGCACCCCCTGGACAGCATCAACGCCCTTCAATTGCTTCCGAGGCCCTACCCCCTATGACTCTTCAACGCCCACTGTACAGCGGTAGGGACCACTTTGGGAAACTATGGTCAACGTGGATCATTGGACAGGTTAAAATGTCCGCTGCTCAATCAAGTAAATTAAGATCGTGTATGTTTCGAGTCATTTGCTCTGCAGTAGAGACACTTCGGAAGGCGCATTCCAAAATAAAATTAACTTTAGCATTATTATGCTAAACTTAACATAATATTAAGAAACATCAAAATCGGTTCATCGGTAGTCGAATTGAGAACCTCGTCCTTTTTTTGGAAGTCGATTAAAAATCAATATGCTATGTTTAAAATAGTTTATTTTAATTTCAAATAGGTCAGCTTTAGAACCGCACTGTCAGAGCTTACTTACAGACTATTTTAATAGAGCAGACCAAGCTTGATATTTTTGTTCGAATGTCGTCCGTAATACAACGCGGTAAGGTACACCATTGCTTGGGTTAAAGCGCTCAAAATTGTGCAACATTTTTAATGCATCGCGATCGCCTTGTCGGAGGTGAATATTTTTGTATTCTTTAATTAAAGCTAGACTTTTATTTGCCTATTATGACAGTTGGGCTTGAACGGCATTTCGCTGTGTGATCTAACTCTGCCCTTCATTGTACTAAATCGGAATGCTCGACAAAAACTCCTTATCTTGTCTCAATTAGGAAATTCCTTGTAATTTGAGTACGGGGATCATCAAGACCAGAACAAATTTGGACTAGTTCTTTTTCCCATCCTCCACCTTTTTTGACTCGTCATCATAATCTATCGGTCTTTTAGTAGCAGTAGACCTCCTGCCTGGAAACAAAGTAAGAGAAAGTTTTAGATGACAAATGACCTAGTTTATTTGTGAGAGACATAGTTCGGGTTAGCTTGGAGTAACCTAAAAAAAAAACCATTTGAATAATTAAGTTATAGGTATTGGTCAGTTGTGGTTAAACAAATTAACCTACATTTAGAATTAAACTTTATAGATTTTTTTTATTATGAAGCAAAAGGGGAATTATTAATCGGAGGTTATTTCGGAAGTTAAAATATGATCTGATCATTTTCCGAAATACCGATCTCTTCTTTTGCCTGGCCTTATTCCCATTTTATTGGGGTCGGCCCTTCTGGTCACTCTTCTCCAAGACAGTCTGTCCTTGGTCGTCTGTGGTCTTAACTGTTGCTATCGTAGATGTTTATAAAAGGGATATCCATGTGAGGCGGGGTCTACCACGACTCTTGGGCTGGTTTCTTATGTCAAGGACTTTCCTTGTCGTATGATCAGGTGGTCGTAGCATACCATTTCCGTATACCGATCATATCAGTTCCGATAAAAAATTGAATGGTCCAGAAACGTTTATCCGAAATTAAAATTTTTAATAGGTTTGGAAATGAAACAATTTTTTTGGATCTTAATCGCGGATATTTGTTTTTTCAAACAAACCTACGTTACAGGTTACAGGTCCCATAATCAGTCAGCCGTGACCATGTGACCTTTTTTATTTATAACCATGGGACTTGTAAGGCGTCCGAACCAGGTTGGTTGTTTGAAAAAGAAATATATGCGATTAAAGGCGCCTTAACTACCTTAAAACTACACCAACTTAATTTTCTGTTTTCATTTTGTTTTTTGTTTCTTTATTATTTTTTTTAAATTTTTTTTGTATATTTTCGAAATTTTAATTTTTGTATGTTTTTTCACAAAATTGAGGGAGCATGATATTAGTAAATAAATATGGCTGTTTGCAAGAATAACAGACAATGACCATAAAATAAAGTTGGCGTAGTGTTCATTGGAGGTAGGGATAGAAGCGCTGCACTACTAATTTTCATTAGTAGTGGTAACTTTTTTTTTATAAATCCTTTATAATCCTCTTAGTGAAGTAAGACGTAATACGTGGCTTAAATTTCATACAATGCGCTTCTATGAAATTTAAGAATTTGATACTATAGTAGACTTATTTGATGGAATAAAAAGTAGTGAATTTACAGGCACACGAACAGTTTACAGGCCATTATGCGCACAAAGATTGTCTCGCTGTTGAGTCGTGTGAGGCAAAGTACTAACAGCATCTAAAAGCTATAGCTGGAAAGTATGATTGTCCTATCCTGAAACATTGGATAGAGCACGTTAGCATGTTATTTAATTAAGAATATAATTTTTCACTAGCTTAAAAAGGCTTTCTTTCTTATTAGAAATCAGAGTGCAAAAATCTTTTCCACGCTAGCTTCGAAAAGGTTTTTGAAATTGGAACTTGACGATGGACTGTGGTGCACGTAACTTTTTCTTTCGACGAAAAAAACACATAGTGACTCGTTCAATTACGCGATTTGTCGTACATTATTTATGTAATATAAATGCGTTTGTACATTTTATTCTTATTACCGGTGACATTAAATTGCCAAAACTCCCTTCGCTCGTGGTTCAATCTTCATACCCTTCGTTTTCTCAGGTTTCAATACAATCACTTGCGTCAAACAACAGCTTTGCAACCTTGCATAACAAATAACTATTGTTTGTACTGTTTTTCTACAAACCTTGTTTCTAAGTTCTTTACTAACATGCTATGGATATTTTTATGGTCCGAAATAAATAATTGTTATTAATATTTGATGCTCTATTAATTAATTTGCTGCTTCAAGTTATGCTTTAAAGCAAGGCGCTG